TTAATAGCAACCCCGCATCCTTTTTTTTGTTAATATATGTTTTAATGATATATTTATCAAAATGTACATTAAATGCCAATAGTACTATCATTTAATTTAACTCTTAATAGTCAATATTGTAAAAACATTCGTTGGGTAAAATAATTGTCTAATTAAGTTATATTTTGATATTAAAATAATAAAAATATATAAAGTATTTCATGTGAAGTAAAATGTAGAGCAAACGGTTGGAGAAAATACAAATTTCGCCAATATCAACAAAAACATATATATTTACATATTAAATACCATAATTTTATTCATTCTGCTTTCCAAATTATAATAATTTTTAATCATCATATGCATATATATTTAAGAAAAATAGTATGTAGATCTACTCGTTAGTAGAATAATTCAATTATGAGCGCAATATATCTATCTGGCTATAACAAATAAAAACAAACAACACGTTTTATATATTGGATATAGAAAGAAGTTGTCTCATTTGAATAATAATAGTAATAAATAAAAAGATAAAAAAATATTTTCAAATTTTGACTAGATTAAGAATAAAAATATAATAATTATAGTGGTTTATATAACCAGGATAAAATATTACTCAATATTGTTTAATAATCATTTTAATTAAAAGTATATGAATAAGCTCGTAGTATTAAAATTTTATTAAACATATAATAGTCACTCTTACGACTGTACTTTAATCATGGGCGGACACACACAGTGGCCGGCAGGGGTAATATATTTGCTATGTCATATGCGTCCTATTTGTTAAGTTTCTAACAATAAAAATAAATTATTCGAAAAGAGCTAGTCACACATGCATCTATTTAAATCCTCGCATTCGTGGCATTCAGGATTTTATATTTTATTAGAAACTAATCTCTATATTTGTAATAATAATAATCTCTATATTCAATGGAATTATATCCTAATTGTAATGCCTAATTAACTCCTGATGACTTATATATTTTTTTTTAAAAAAAAAAAAATCAGATGTTTTTATTATTCTAACTGAAATTATAATTTGTAAATTATCTCCTAAAGTACGTGTGATTGGTTTTCTAATTAACATAATTTTTATCACATTTGATGTTAATAGTTGAATGATAGTTTAATAACATATAATTTAAGTAAAGTAGATTTGAAAAGATATATATTGATACAATTAATGCTATAAATATTCATGAAAGCTAATTGTGCCTCTCTCTCATTTCAAATTTCTGCGGCCCCTGATTTTCACTGTACCAATGGGACAATAGAAAAAATATAACGAAATAATATTATATTCAATAAATTATTATTTTATTCCACGTGATAAATATTGACCAATCGAAATAATAAAATAAAAATTTCCATGTCCATTCCCCATTCCTCTATATAACAAGATGACATAATGAGGCTCTCAATTAATCAAAACCTCATATAAAAAGCAATGGCTGAAAACAAAGCATCCGAATTACATGCCGCAAAAGGAGCTCCGGCCAACGACCCGACCCAGTCCATATTGAGTGCGGCGGTTAAGGTTCAGAAAGTCTTCCGAGGCCACGTTGACCGGCGCAAGTTAGCGGACTCCGCTGTTCTTGATGGACAAAACTGGTGAATTTTACGTGATTTTTGTTTATTTTTCAACTTGTGTTTTTTTGGTATATATGGTCATGCGATATTTTAATGCAGTCTACATTTTTTTATGTTTGTTTAGTCTGAATCTATCCAGTCCACATTTTTAAAATAAAATGATTTCACTAATATTGAACATTTGTTAATTGTTTCAACAAAATCCATGTTTTTCCGACATTTTTGGAAAATATTTGTACTCAGTTGGAAATCATCAAGTTTCCTTAAAGTGGATATCTTGAAGTGAAATTATTGCTAGCAAGTAGAGATAGGTACTCACATTTTTTATTTTATTTTATTTTGTGGGATGTGGGCTACTGTAAACAAGCCAGAAATCAAGTTCGAGCTCGGTTAGTTTATTAATTTTAGTGAGCCGAGTTCGGGTTTTAACGAGTCAATCTCGAGTTTTAACGAATCGAACTATAAAAAATTATATAAAAAAATAATATTAGATAATAATTATAAATTGACGATATAAGTATATAATATGTATTCATTTAGAATTTTGAGTGCCACTTTGAGATTTTTTAAGATTTGAGACTTTTAAGATGATCAAATTTTAGAGGAATACTATGAAATCTTAAGTGTGAACGTGAGATTTAGAGTGAAATTTTGTATAATGTTTTTTCTTTTAAATCATAACTAATCTTAAAAAGACCTAACAAATCTTGATCTCATAAATAATTAAGGATATTTTAAGATTTTTTTAATTTTTATATATCTAAGATGAACCGCTTTTGTTATCAAAAAATGTGGACACAATTTTGAATGTACATCCCCTCCAAGTATCAGTTTTATTCTAAAATAAAAATTGCGCGTGGTTTTATCCAATTTACACACTTTTTTTTTTCAAAGAAAAAATTATTCAATAAGATTAGAATAATTGGTTAAGAATTATACAACTATTTGTTTCTAAAATTTGTATCCGATTTGTACGGTTTTTAAGTTAATTTGTATTTAGAATTGTTTTCATAAATAATTGACACATTTTTTGCATAAGAATCTCCAAATTTGTTACCAAAAAATATATGATTTAAATTTTGGTAAAAAAAATAAAATATGATACGAAAAAAATAGAATTCAAATTTTGCCATAAGAATCTCCAATTAGTTACAAAAAAATAGGATTCAGATTTTGTTACTAAAGATTCACATGTATTTTTTTGAATTTTTCATTAATAGTAAGTCAAACATTATATTTATTTGGTCAAACTTTCTATTAATGTATTTTTCCAACAACCTCTTTATATATATATACTAGTACAGTACCCGTGCGATGCACGGGGGGTGAAAATCTCCGTCCCTTTTACAAAGCAAATTTAAATTAAAAATCAAAGTACGTAGTAAAGGAAACATGATGTCATTAATAAATAATAAACTAAAAAATATAACGGAAAATAATCTATATATTATTGAACACTTCCTTATATACAACGTTCATGGTTTGATTTGTTGGCAATTCATCGTCGCCACAAATTAGGATTTTCAAACCAATTCTATTTGTGACACGGGAGACAGCTACATACAACTGCCCATGACTAAACACCGGTTTCTTAAGAAATAAGCCCACATGAGACAACGATAGTCCCTAACTCTTATTTATAGTCATGGCATAAGAGACCATAATGGGAAACTGACGACGTTGGAATTTGAAAGGAATTCTAACATCAGATGGAGTTATAGCCATTCTTGGAATCAACACTTTATCACCTTCGTGATCGCCAGTGAGGATCTTACACTCGAGAACATGAGTGGAGAGCTTTGTCACTACCAATCGTGTCCCATTACACAGACCCATAGAATGGTCCATATTCCGCAATAGCATGACTGGAGTTCCAATCTTCAAGTACAACTCATGATTGGGTATTCCAGAACACTTTATACTATTCAAAAACTCGGGCGTATGGAGATCGGACAAAAATTCATTATTAGAATCTGATTTGCACGTACTGTCAGAGCTCAAGTACGTACGACCATCCGACAAATTCAACGATGTCATGTACTCATTGATAGAATCGACAATATCCAAAGTCGGCGCTAATATAGCCCTGTCCTTCAAATAACTTGGATCGTCGGTTGCATCCTTAAACATTGGGTATGTGCTTTCAACAATTTGAGCAATAGGGTCATCAGATGGTTGGAGCAATAAAATAATAAATGTAATATACAAATTAATAATAAATTATAAAATTACCAAAAAGATAAGAATCATCAACATTCTCAACATCTTGAAAGTCAGCAAAGCTACGAAATTGAAAATGCCACGAAGGAAAGTATGCGTGCACTTCTAGAACCTCTGTATTGCTATGAATAAGGAGTTTGTATTTTGCAACAGTAGATCGATACTTATCGATGTTGCTGTCTAAATAGTAGTTCCGGATTTTATATATGCCACATTCGTGGAAATAGCCAGGCATCTTTGGTAAATGAACGCCACGAATAATACCACTAATGCGAGTCCCCTTAAAAACCAAAAAAAAATATTATAAAGACCACATTAAGAAACATAGTAATTGAACAATTTAATAATTAACACTACAATTACCTCTTCATCATGAAATACGATCTCCAATTGTCTAAGATGAGAGGAATCAAAAGATTTCTCGAAGATACGAATTAATTGCTCGTAGTTTTAGCATGAATCTCTTACTCCTCTGAATCTGTCGGATTAAGCCAAATGGTTGATCCATGTTTTCTTTTTTTGTTTTTTCGGTTGTATATTCTCGGTAACCTAATTTTTATAAAATGCGTATGATATCTACATGGACTGATATTATGGTTGAGGTATTTATAGACATGGAATAAATTAATCAATGAATATATAAAATATTTGATATATTTATAAGAATTTTATATATTTTATATATATAATACCAAAATTATTTGGTATTACATATATTAGATATTTTTATTGGTTGAGATAATAAATAGTATCTAATTTTAACTCAGTCCAATTATTCGATAATGGCAATATCAAAGATTTGGTATTATCTGCACAAAAATTTGGAGTAGCATCATTATCATAGATTTGATATTATCTTTGGAAATATAAATCAATGCACTAATAGGAAAATAGAAATCTTTGACTATATTATTCAACGCACTCATAAGAGATTAGAAAAATAGTTTGACCAAAAATTGAGATTTTCCGTTGATTATATCCCAATAATCAAGCGAATCACATTATAACAACAAAAGGTTTTTTGTAGAGTGTGGATTCTATGAATTTTTAGGAAAATGGGATTTGTGGTTTTGAACTTTCAAGTCGATTTTTACCATATTAAATCGATATCATAGATTGCTATAATTTAATAGCTATCATCTCTCATCATTAAAATAATAAACGTTACAAAATGTAAAATATATATGATTCCGCAAATCCCAATATTAGTTATATTTTTTTACTTATAGATATATATCTATAACAACTAAAGGTTTATCGAATAATGTGGATTCTATTAATCTTCGAGATATTAGGGATTGTGGTTTCACCATTCAATTCGATTTCAACCCTTTTAATTCTATATCAAAGATTAATATAATCTTATAGCTATATTGATCATCTATCATCATTACAATAATAAACGAAATTGTCTATAAAATATGCATTATTCATTTTTATACAAATTCAAAATTCAGAAGTCTGTAGTCAGTATTAGATATATTTGAAATAATTATCCGAATAGTTATCTGATTTTAATGATATACATCGATAACAACCATGTAAGAGAGTACTTCTCAATATAATTGTTTAAATCATTGTCCGATGACTTTATTGATTAATAGATATGTATATATAACAAACGTGACTACATTTTGGTTTATCAAATTTTATATTTATCCATTCCGCCCATTCCGAATATCTATAACAAACGTGACTTCATATTTTGATAGGAAATTTTATCTAGAACATTAAGAAAAAACACGCTTCAAAAATATTGGAATTGGAATTCCATTATAGTTGGACATCATTATTATTATCCATAACTAATTTTAAAGTAAATTGGCTACTGTTGGTGTTGATTCTATACATGATTCAAAAAGATGTGAAAACACAGTGAACATCAATTTAAAACTGGTGTTGAAAACACAGTGAACATCCCGTTCAGTGAATATCAATATAAATACCAATTAAAACTAACTCAATTTATTATATAATAAAAGAAAAGCCTCGGCAACTATATGTTACCTAGAGGCCGGATTTCAAATAATAAATGTCTGAAAAGCACAAAAATTGCGCACCTAAAATCCCACGAAATGTAAAATGTTCATCAAACACCAATTAATAAAAACAATTAACTATTAAAACTAACTAATAGAAATAATCTCTTAAACTCCAACCAATCAAATCAATCTTCTTCTTCTTCGATCAAATTTCCATTATCATCAACCTTTGCTTTCCCTTTATTACTTGTAACGGACTCAGAAGCGAATTGATCAGATAGGTTCCGTTTTGCAATTCCATCACCGACATCCTTGGATTGAACAATCTTCACAGGAGTCGAGGCCTCATCTTCCAATGTGGGATCCTACAATAATCAAATTAAGTACACTTATTCCAAATAATGTATCATGATTCAAGATATTCGAAAAAATTAAGTGGATTCATTGAGGTAAAAATGTATACCACTCCATGTGAAGCATCTTCTCTTAGTAAGAGAGTTAAGAAATCAGAATCCTATAAAAAAAATTCATACAAAGATATAACACAAATACGTTAATGTATAATGAAAATAATAGAAAGTTGAAATTTCTTAAAAATTTTATAATCAATTATTCGATATTTAATGAGACTTACATCATACTGAACGACCCATTGACTATACTTGGAAACCAAACGTTCGTCAACGACAACTTTTATCACAGTAAAAGTAGAACCCTGGTTATAAGGGTCATCTGGCTTAATGCGAACCTTAAAGAGATATGACTTTCCTTGCAACTCTTCAAGTTCATCGGGGAGTTCAAAGATGGGTTTTTTCTGGCATAAAACAAAAAAAAAAAATTAAAATAATTTTCACATTTTTAATAGTATTAATATAATTAATATTAATATTAATATTAATATAAAAATAGATATAAAAGTAAATATAAGTTTAAATAAAAAAGAATAATAAATAAATATTAAATATTAATAATAAAAAAGATAAAACGGAGTATACCTTTTGGGCAAATTCACGTTTCAGGACATCGCAAGTTTTGCCAATGATAGTTTGACAATCCTTATCCCAACACACGAAGGTTGCACTTGCGGAAGCATCAGAAACACCAAATTGAATTTTGTAGCTACACATCAAACAAATTTATGTTTAATGTTGTCATTAAGAATTCATATACAAATACATATATATTGTTAAAATTGAATTGAATTGAATATATAGAATATTAACAAACCGAAACGTTCCACGATTGTGAGAGCACTTCCGGCACGAATATGTCCCGTTGTCATCCTCCATTGAGGAGTTGCAACGAAGACATGCAAGGTACCACCATTGGTCTATGATGGAATCGATACTTGCGCAAACCCAAGTGTCCATTACCTACAAAGAAAATATGCATAAATAATAATTAATATGAATTCGATTAGAATTTCAATAGTATGGCATTTAAAAGAATTGAAATAGTTATTATTAAATTATAATTCAATTATTCGATTATAATTATTAGTATAATAATAATAATAATTAATATTATAATTATAATTATTAGTTTTACCATTAGATTGCAAATTAGAATTATAATTTATATTACCTCAATATACTCAAATAGAGAATCAACAGAACTAACAACAATGTCACCATCATCAAGTCCTTGTAGTTCGGTCTTCACAATGATTGAGCTACTTGACACCAATTTGGTGTCCTTAAATTCAGTCATAGCCAGCCTACGTTGTAGAATAACATAAACAATAATAAGTTATAATATGATGATACACAGTAACCAATGGAAGCATTGGAGCATCAAAAAACATGTACCTCCTCCGAAAATCTTCAATTTCGGGAACATCCACACCAATGATCAACGTCACGTCCTTCGACGTGGTTATTTGAACATCACCTATTACACAAAATATTGTCATTAACAATTATTATTAGCCAAAATATCAATTCATAATAAAAAAATCGTTAAAACTAAAATAATTAATTACCTCTCCACTCTCTTGCGCGGCACATTTGCATTATGATAACAAAAGGTGTTTTTTCGTTTTCATAATGATGCTCCAAAGCAATCAGCTGATCAACATATCGACCCCAGACAGTGCATTCCTTGACATTCCCCCTACAGAATGGATACAGTTTTTTGAATATTTTATTTAAAATATTTAAAAAAAAATAAATAACTTAGTTATGTCATATAAAAAGTTTTAATAGAAGGCTACAAAATATTACTCCAAATCCATAATAGAAAACACAATCATTTGGGTAGGAACTCCCTTCACAACCTTCATTTGGATTGGTTGTATTGAAACAACCAATCCAATGATATCTACAAAAAAATAAAAGAATGCATCATATATTACATCATTTAAAAAAAATCGGGAAAATATATACATATGTTCTATATTTAATATATATGTAACGTACCAAACAAAATGGCTTCCTCAATGTTACGAACATCCATCAAAGTTAAAAAATTTCTAAAGTCAAAACGAAAAAAGGGAAAATCTCCCTTCCATTTGACAATCTTGGTTTGGCCATGGATGATGATCCTCCATTTTCCTATGGTAGATTTATAGATGCCGATATTACTTTCAACTTGATAATTTGTCAAAATATAAAAACCACCTTCTTCAATATTGCCTTTGAATTTTTGGATGTTGACAGGACGAATAATGCCAGTAATTCGTACACCCTAAAACAATACAAATTGAATAATTAAATATATGAGGTATAAAAAATAAAATATGTCACGTTGAATGATGGAATCGGAATTATTGGTGAATTAAATTTTGTTCTTAAAGTTAAAATTAAAAATAAATGTAAATAATAATAAAAAAATATATTACCTCCTCATCATGGAAGACAATCTCAAGAACATTTCGATAATTGCGTACATCTTCGACTCGTTGGAACATCCTAATAATGCGTAGCTTGATGGGTGGCTTTTTGGATCTGTCGATATCCTTGATGACTCCAAGATCCAAAGGCATTGTGAATGTTGTTGTAAAAGCTTGTCGAAAAAAATGGATTTGTGGGATGTGTATGATGTCGACTATCTGTTGAAAAGTTTGTGATATTTATATAAGCCCGTGCGATGAAACTATTGTGAACTATCCGATAAATTTTTAACGAAATCTGTGTTAATATCCGATATTTTTGACAATGATATTAATAATATCCCATAGGATCCGATCGGATTTACTTACAAAAATAAATTGATGAGTTGTTTAAAAAAAGAGGACTCTATACACGGCACTATCCGATAAATTTTTAACGGAATTATTGTTAATATCCGATATTTTTTACAATGATATTAATAATATCCCATAGGATCCGATCGGATTTACTTACAAAAATAAATTGATGAGTTGGTTAAAAAATGAGGACTCTATACACGGCTGAAATTTTGCACATGTGAGGATACCCATTGAATTCGCTTGTAATACTGTTTTTTTGGTAAATAAAATCGCAAAAAAATTGGAACAATATCGGAACAAACAATCGCAACATTTCTTTAACAGTATCGATTCCATCATTTGAAGAGAAGCGAAACCGATTTGAAGAAAATCCGCATCATTTAAAGTCAACGCATTATTGAATCCGATTTTATTGGGAAAGAAAATCGAAACAAATTTGAAGAGAATCAGATTTATAAATCAACTAAAATTTTGGTAAATGAAATCGCAAAAATATTGGAACAATATCAGCGCAAGACATGGCAATTTTATTTTTCCATAACGAATTTTGAGGTGATAAAGATGAAACTTAAATTAGAAAGTCAAAGCATTATTTTTTTTAGTCAACCTTACTATTTTTGTATTTTTCCATCAACCTCTTTATATTACTATAGATATATAGATATAGATTCATTATTGTGTCGAACTAAAACTGAAATTATTATTTTTCTTAAAGAAACAAAAATATTTTTTAAGTGGCTATTTATTTATTAAAAAATATTGAAATTCCTCCAGGTGGCAAGCGCTAGACTTTGCAAAGTTAAATATTTCTACGACGTCGTTTTACACAAAGCCCGAAACAGCTGCGTCCCGTTGGAATCGAGTCGGCTCGAATGCTAGCAAGGTATATATCCCCTTTTTCATACAGTAATTTTCGATATTAATTTTTTCTTAAAAAAAAAATAAAAAATTGGATAAAAATCTAAAGAGACAAGAAGCCTTTGGAGTTATTATTACATGTGTTCAGTACATATTTTTTTAGAAAATATTTTTTTTGTAAATATGTATCTAGATATTTTAAAAGGGAATATGATACCATAAAAATACAATATAAATAAATATATGATATTTCATAATATAAATAAAGATTCCCATTACAAGTACGAGTCGATTTGACTAATGATTAGGCTAGCTCACGAAAATTTGTATTTTGGGTCACACAAGAAATTAATACTAACAATTAATGCAACTATATATATGTGTATGTGTGTGAAATTAAATTTTGTTGTGTAACAAAATTTGAAGAGAAGTATTTCTGCAGGTTGGCAAGGGTTTATCTTTAGATGCCAAGGCACAGAAGCTAATTTTTGAGCATTGGATTGAAGCTGTAAAAATCTCTCTCTCACCATGTGAATTTGACGTGATACTTGTGAAGATTTATTAATTAAACTTGAATTATCTAAAATAATTAGATCGACCCAAAACACCGTTATGGGAAAAGCTTGCATCTTTACTTTGATGAGTGGCGAAAATCCAATTCCGGACAGCCTTTCTTCTACTGGTAAGAAAATTAGAAGCCTAATTATTAATTTGAGCACGTGATCAAATTCAAGAAAATGTTCACTAGCAATATTATTTGCACAAAATCATCAAGATTCAATTTTTATTTTTTTTTTTTTATATTTTTCGTAGGTTGGATCTTGGGGATGGCAAGGAGGTCGATCTCCATGAGTGCCCGAAATCGAAGCTTCAGAATCAATGCATCATGTATCTTGGACCCGTATGTCGATAAACCTTACGTTCAAACTACATTATGACTTGTCGATTTTGTTTTTCCGGTTAATTTAAAATTTTAACGGGAAAATTTAAAAATTAGTCCCACAAATATATTGAAAATCAAAACATGCTCAAAGTTTTTAAAATTAATCAAAAGTAGGATTTTTTTTATTGAATTTACGTTTTTCGGCTCGAAAAGCCACGTCGCGCAGAGCAGGGTTTCTTCTTGATACGTTGTCATCACATGTGGCTCTATACCTGTGGGACTAGTTTTAAATTTTTTTTATTATATATAAAGAATAAAAACAGAAAATGCCAACTCATTATATCACATGAAGGGTTGAATTTTGATTAATTGAATGATGCCTCAACCACAACTAGCAAATTAAGCTACCGTACATAAGATGATATATATTCACTGTGGGCATTTTGGAAATAAAAGTTTTTCATCATGACCATAAAATTAATTATTAAATTCATATAACTAACCACAAATTCGACATAATTTGTTTGAATATATTATTGCGTTATGATTCTTGGTTATAAGCATATGGATGTCATCGCCTCGCATTTCTATATAACAAGTGCAAGGAATTTTGTTAAGTCAATGTACAAATTGACATTAATATAGAGACAACTACCATTAAATATAGTAAAAAATATATTGACATTTATATAGAGACAACTACCACTCATGTAGAGCCAATGTACAAATTGACATTAATTACTATATTTTTTATTAAACAATGATAAAATTACAAAAACAATTATTATATTTATGATTAAATCTAAAATTAGAAAAACAAAGAAAATGTCATAAATAAAAAATGTTAGCGGTAATTATGTCATGATTAAAATTATTTTTTGTAATTTTATAATAATTAATATTAAAAAAGAAGCTAAAAGAATACCTATTAAAAATAACACATCACAAAATAAAAGTAATTAAAAATATGTTCTATTTTCATTTTAATGTATATTGTATCCTTATTCATAATTGAAATTGTTTATAAATAGTTATAATAAATAATTATGTATATTCATAATCTTGTTTAAGACTTACTTAATAATATATTTATATTAATAATATATATATATATATAATATTATATATAACGAAAGAAAAACATAATAATATAAAAAATAAGAAAAATTTTAAAACTAGTCCTACAAGTATGTCATGCCACGTGTGATGATTGTTGCCTGTGCGACATGGCTTTTCGGGCTGGAAATGCATCAAAGTCCTATATTTGGTTAATTTTTTAAAGTTGTGGAACTATTTTGACTTTTAACATTCGGTCGGGACAAAAAATGTCACCCCCTACACATGTAGTTTTGAAATTTTCTCAAAATCTAACTATAAGTATGAGAGTGGCAATCACTCTATAGCATTGATATTCTGATAACCTATTATGAGTGTGTTTGATAAACATTATAAGTTTAGCTTATATATAAACTTCTTATATTACTAAACAATTTCATTATATCAGCTAACTTTTCAGTTATCATCATAAGTTAAGCTATTAATCAAAATTCATTTATAAAAACTTAAAATCTACCAGCTAGCATTTCAAATATACTTACCATATAACTTTCGAGTAGTAATGCATGTTTGAAACTTCATGCGTCGTCATCTAAATCTCCCGATGGCCATAATTTTCGAACCTTCAGTGGTGTTTCTTGATGACCCGTTTGATCGTTTTATAGAATTATATACCGGCATATTCTCAATCGTCGTTTGATGTGTTTAGGTCGAGAGAGAAAACTACGAATACTCGGTTGAAGGTGGCAAAATACTACACAAACTAACCGGAGAACCTCTCGACACAAACCAAGGTTCCACTTGGAATATTTTCGTCATGAGCGTCTCTAAAAGATTCTACTCTGCAGAGGTGAATTGTCTCTACTATCATATATAACAAGCTAGAATTGTATCTTTCTTACAATTTGTCGACTATTGTAGGTCTTTAAATTATGTTACTTTT